TGTGTGTGTTTATTAATGTTTCTTTTGTTTGACAGTTAGGAAATGCATTTATTTACACTTTTTCTTAGAGTTTGCCTTCAGAAATGCATTTATTATTCGTGGCATAGATTGAACCAGGTACTGGAAACATTCCTCAGAGATTTGTCCACGTTGACATGACATTAGGTTGCAGATCAGTCGACTGCACTTCCATGATGTGAATCTGCTGTTTGACCACATGCCAGAGGTGTTTTACTGGATTGTGTGAGCTCATTGTCATGGCTAAGAAAACTGTTTAAGTTCATTTGAGCTTTGTGACAAGGTGGATTATCCTACTGGAAGAAGCCATCAAAAAATGGGTACACTGTGGTCATGACAGACATGGTCAGCAATAATATGGAACAAAGCAACTATACTTAAACAAATCTCACTTAATACACCACCACCCTGAACTGTTTATACAAGGCAGCTTTCAAGTTGTTAAGTTTAAGGTCTGACCCTGTCATTCAAATATTGCTGCAGAAATCAAGACTCATCAGAACAGGGAACATTTTTCCAGCCTTCCAGTTTATAATTTGGGTTAGCTTGTGTGAACTCTGGTCTCAGTTTTATGTTCTCAGCTGACAGGAGTGGCAGGTAGGTTGGATATGTTGTGCATTCAGAGATGCTCTTCTGCATACCACTGTTGTAACGAGTCGTTATTTGAAAGAGAGCTGTATTTTAGATAGATAGATAGATATCCTCCTTTTCAGTCCATGCTCTATACTTTTGGCTTATTAGTAGCCATTTTTTAAGTCAAATGTCAAATTAACAGCCTTCTCTTAAAGGTACCCAGTTGAAGTAAATCTAGTTAAAAGCATCCTGTTAATAAATAAAATTCAAGAGGTTTTATTGTCATTTCAACCATGTGCAGCGGTACAGTACACACTGAAGCGAGACAACGTTCCTCCAAGACAATGGTGCTACATATAAAAGACAATCAACACAGGACTACATAGAGTGCAAGTGTGAAAAAAAATTGCAGGAATTGCAAAAAACCCCACAACAAAGACAGTGCAACACCAGACAGAACGATACAAACATAAGACAGCGTGACAGCGACAGAAACGTGCAATAATGACAGTGGGTTGGACACAAAAGTAAATGTGCATGTACTTTTTTCTGTCCATAGAGAGGCATATGCTATTGGCAAGAAGGAGAAACCTCCCTTCCTTGCACAGGAGCCCGAGTCTGAAGACCAGGATGATCCCATACCTGGCGAGCTCCTCTGTCTGATCTGTAATGAACTGTTGGCTGATGCCGTGGTCATACCCTGCTGTGGAAACAGCTACTGTGATGAATGTGGGTGTCTGCTTCACACACATAAGATAAATTAATAGTTTAAACATCTAATCACCTGAACCTAATATATCTATATATCCAGTTCTTACTAACTCAAAAATGTAATTACACAAAGTACAAAATTGTAGAAGTGTTTAGGTGTATCACAGATATCAGCAAAAATGTGCTAATATTGCCTACCAAAAGCAGCAGAAACACAAGTGCATGTACAGTCTGTACTCTCGACAGTGAAGTAGGACTGTGTCACATTATTGTACAAATAAACAGTGCTCTGGTTGCTCTCTAATCTCCTTTTCTCTCACTCAGGTATTCGCACTGCCTTGTTGGAATCAGAGTACCATATCTGTCCCACCTGTGACCAATCAGAAGTCTCTCCTGACACCTTGATAGCCAATAAATTTCTCAGACAGGTGAATTGACAGAGTGATAATAATTATATATTATAGATTAAATGTTTGTAATAATGCTTTCTTTTTCAAGGTACAGTTGATGTTGTATTGTTGATCTGTAACGTCAAACCAGAAGATTCAGCATTCAGCATTCACTTTGCTCTCCATCCATTTTTCTCCCACCACAGGCGGTCAACAGTTTTAAGAAAGAACAAGGACAAGACAAAAGCTTGAAAAGAAAACCAGCCACATCCCAGTCTCAAAATCTAACTCCAGCCCCCTCTGTCCCTACCCCGCCCCCTCTGCCCATGCAGAGCCAGCCACAGAAACCTCAGCAGTCATCCCAAAGCCAGCAGGTGAGCCTTTTAATAATATGTTTCACCTGACAGGCAGGAAAAATAAAGAACCTGCAAATAATATAATTACTGTTTTCTTTTCAGGATAAGACCTTTGGTAGGTCTCTGCAACATTCTGTATTTACCCAAAGAAGAAACATGCATGTACACATGTCTCATATCCTGATATAAGTCATCTGTTATCCTGATAATGCTATAAATCACAGTATAGTGCATTTTCTGTAAATTCAGTGAATATTTTATATAATAACCAAATCAAAAGTACTTTTTAACATATCAATATCAGCCTTACGTTAACCTGTAGCAACACACACTAAATGACTCCACGCAGTCACATAAGAGCTTCTATATATTTTCTATATATTTACAAATGTAAGTTGTAATGGCCACTATTTTCTTCTTCTGGGGTTTATTTTGAGCACCTGATGGCTCTAGCTCCTCGTTTAGGAATGAGAACCCGGATGTTTTTTGGCTGGTCCTTCCTGTGGTGCCGTGGTGACTATTGCAAAGCATCATCTAAAGGAACAATAGAGATTTTAATATCATCACTTGATATATTTTGCCATATCGCACAGTCCTAATGTACTATATTCCTCTATTGTAAATTATTGGTTTCGTTTATTGGCTTTAATGAAATGTTTCCCAAATGAGGTGCAGTGAACTTTCTCAGGCCTGATATTGATACAGACACCTCGGCTTTGGGTATCTACTGAAAAGAAGTTCCAGTACTATTATTATTAAATTAATAACCTTTCTCACTGTAAAGAAGAGGCAACATTAGACTTGATTTGACATCATCCCTTAACTTTTTTTTTTAAAGGTACAAATGAAAAGAATATGAAATGCTAAATTCATATTTATGACTAAAATCATTTTTAAAACTCTTGCAGTTTCCTTTAATTTGCAGTCATGATAGTTTCTTCTTACCTGGTTTCTAGTTTTATTGTGTGTGCACCGTATCGTATAAGGAGTGTAGCACACAAGAAGAAATTGTTGAGAAAACAATGGTAATAAAGTTCACAACAGCATATTAAGCTTTATTGCACTTATGTTAACAAGCAATAAAAAGCTCTCCAAAAGGTATTTAACCTGAGAGACAAAATACAAAGAGAGTGACAGTGCTGATGAGGACTCGATTCAATTAAGATCTATTTGTGGTAAACTTGGAAAGTTACTAAAAACTAAGAAAACCTTGTTTTCTACTGCTGTTGCAAGAGTAAAATACCTCTGTTTTTTCACCATTTGCTGTTAACTTGCTCTATAAGTTAGCTCGTCTTATGTGTGGCACAGCAATCGTAAAAAAAACATTGAATTTAATTTAATTCTGTAGATCAGCCCAGTAAATTAGCCATCATTACAAATAATCATTTAAGCTTTGGGATTCTGTTTTAGAAAGATCTTCCTTAGCATTCATGCTCCCTTGTTTGTTCCACTGGATTTTGATCTCTGCAATGTTTTCTTGGTATACCCCCTGTTCAGGACTCTCTTCTGGATCATCTAAAGACTGCAAATACACCACCACAGTCTCAAGTCTCTGAGGTTCAACCTGCAACTACAGACCCAGCCTCTAAGAATGACACAGCAGGCACATCCCTCCAGCCTCCAGAAAACCAGCTAGAAATATCTGAGAAGTATGTATAATATTACACTGATTTTTACATGGGTATATCTACATCCACATTGTGGACGATCTTCATAATATTTGAGGATGTTGAAGATGTCCCACTCCAGCCAGACAGCAGTGAAAACACACTTAAAGCTGTTTGGGAGCTCCTAGTGTTGCCTGACAATGAAGTAACGTTCGTTGTCTAACGATAAACTGTGAATTAAACTACTGTATTTCTAATTTAAAATCAAAGGGTTTTAAAATAGCTAGCGCTGCTATTTATAAAAAAGAACACTTTGGAGTAATTTTACTGTAGCTACAGCTTTGCAGTGTTGCTAAAGAGGTAAGAATGAGGAGAATTTAAATGATTGTGATCATGTTGTGCTGACTGTGATGTATTTACTCAGTGAGATTGAAGGAAAGATGTGCAGTGACTCAGCAGGTGCTGCCCTGTCTGGAAAGGTTTCAAACAAAGATCCGACTGATCCACTGTCACAGCCCATAACACCGGTGAGGACATTCATACAGGAATAGTCATTGTCACTCACTAATAACATTTTTTTGCTTGTGTTTTTTAATGAAATCTTGTGGCATTTGTGTCTGTTTAGGATGATGACTCAGAGCAGCCTCTGACAGGTAGCGTCAGTCAAGAGAATCAACACTCCTGCTCAGGTGAGTGACTAATAAACATTATCAGTGTGTGATAATCTATTCCCTACTGTTAACCTTGTGTTTAGACACCAGTAATGTCACTAAAATCAGGAAATAATGAGGGAAAAAAAACACTTTTTCTTTGAATCAACAGGTCCAACCCCAGTATACCCTGAATCCTCAGTCAGCTTGGAGAGGTCGGTAGTGTGTGTTTCTGAGTTAGGGGTTTGTATTTTCCTTTTTCCACTCTTTAAACAGTGACATCTTTTACCTTTCATGTACCTTCCTTATAGCTCTTCTTCATCTTTGGTTTGTCTCGCTGGAGGAAAGACTGAATCTAATACCCAGCAGCTTTCTACCATGCCCTCCACATCCTCCTCCTCTTCATATTCGAATACTCCACCACCTCTTTTTCCCTCCCCACTTTTTCACACGTACTTATCAGCTCAACAGTCGCACAGCACTTACCCTCCTGGATACCCACCTGCCACACCCATCTGGACCCTTCCAGCCCCCCAGGGTACCCCTATCCCATCCCTTTGCTCCTCTACTACCACCTCCTCCCCCATCCCTCGCCTCATTCCCCAGGAGTGGTACAAGTATCAGAGAAAGAAAAAAGAGAGGTCTGTACCTGCTTACAGCATTATGTTTATACTATTCTATAGATGTACATGATAAACTGAACATAAAATATATATTTTATATCTTTACATGTCACTTTTTGTCATTCAGGTCACCTCAAAGAGCATCTGGCTACAGACGCTCCTCTTCACATTCAAAGTCTTCCACAACCAAGGCCTCTTGCTCCTACTCTCACTCTTCAAGTCGCTCTGAGTCTCGCTCTCGCTCCAGAAGCAGATCAAGGTATTTGTGGCCCTTTTACAGAAATGTTATTTACAGTATTTTGCATTTTGCTGTTTTGCTTCATCCTGAATTGAAAATCTTCAGGACTGACAGAAACTGACTTGTATACTAAAAACATGCAGGACAAATACAGAGCAAAAAAAACCCAACAGCATTGTTATGTTTAAAAACCTGAAAATTCACATTACATTTGTGGAGTAAATAAATAATATAAAAACATTTAGTACAAATGTAGAGTTGTACAAATGTCATTAAAAAATAGTATGTACAGTATAAACTTAAGAGAACAGTAGGAATGATTTCCTGAAGCATTCTTTATGAACGTGGGGTTGAATTAGTTTGAGGGAAGAAGAGCTTCCCTGCTTCAGTAGTGTAGACTGGAGTGGGTGAGATGGGTTGTTTGTGGTGGAGAGCAGAAGACAATAGCAGTACCGCTCATGATGATGATGGAGATCTTCTATCAGTACCACAGGCTGGTAGAAGATCTCAGATCTCTTGTGAGAAAGCTCATCAGAGCTTTCTCACAAAGTAGAGTCTGCTCATTCCCTTCCTGTTCACAGCATTACTCTTGGTCCTCCAGTCAAGTCTGTCATTCAGGTAAATGCCAGAGTACCTGTAGCTGTCCATTGTTTCCACCTTCACACACACACAAACACTCCAACACATACCTCAGGGGTAACTTGGGGTTTAGTAACTTGCCCAAGGGTACAGGCTGAAGGGGCCTTCTTGTTAGTGAGCGACCCACTCCTCCACAACCACCTAATAACACCCACCAACCAATAACCATGTATTTTCCATACAGTGAGAACTGTCTTGTGTTTTTCTTCTTCTTCTTTAGACACCGCTCTCCCTACTCTCATCAGAGAGACCTGCACACACGCTCTCGCCAGCCTAGCTCTTATACCTACGGTTATAAACGCTCGCGCTCACCTACACCGTCCTCGTCGTCTTCACCTCGAAGGGCTCGTCATTCCAGGTCCAAGTCTCTATCAGGCAGAAAGGACCGCCATCACAGTCGCCATCTTAGCAAGAAGTCATCTTCAAGCAGTAACCACTCCAGGAAGCGGGGAGAACGCTCAGGGAAGGAAGCGGCACGCTCTGAGGACAGTATTTCCAGAAACACGTGCACAAGTCGAGCAAACAGCCTGGAGCTGGACAGGGAGTGCTACCTGCAGTGGAAGAATGAGTACAAAGAGTGGTATGAGAAATATTTCAGCAGCTATCACCAGCTCCACCAGCTGCCTGTTCCCTTACTCAGTCTTCCTCCTCCTCCTCCTCCCCCTCAGTGGGTGAGCACAGACAGAAGCAGAAATCAATCACAAGCCAGCTTAAACTCTCGCTACCAACCACAAGATAGATGCCCTGTTGAGATGGATGGCTGCTCCCCCTCGTCGGAGTCATCCAGTGACAGTCGCTCTCCCCTATCTCATTCTTCAAGCGAGAGTCGCTCCACGCCGTCTCAGTCATGCAGTGACAGCAGTTCCTCTATGTCTTATAAGGCTAATGACAGCCGATCACCTCCATCTCAGTCATCCAGTGATGGTCGCTCCACGCCATCTGAAGACAGAGCTCAGCCAAGAGCATCTACTGAGAGGTGCAATGAGAAGTCAAGACATAAACAAGTCACGCTTTCAAAGAGTAGCACGGAAATGAAACTGCAAGGACCGAGTACAGACAATAAGCCACTGAAAAAACTGGAGGAGTCGAGCCCACTGAAACATGAACAAAAGAAGAAGAAGAAACAACCTGAAGACAATGGACAGGAGACTTCGCCCCCTCATGCTGAAAGCTCTAGAGATGACAGCAGAAAAGACAAGAGGAAGCGCAGCAGTGAACCAAAGGCCTGCAAGCATAGTACTCCAGTACAGAAAGATTCAGACCAAACTGTCCTGAAACAAGACCAACCTGAAAGAAAATTCATAGAAAGCAATTCAGAAGGAGAGGAATGCTGGAAAAGAGGCAAAGATTTAGACTTCAGTGATGGGAAGAGACAGCACAAAGCAAAACCCAACAAAGAGCTAGACGGGACGAGCAAAGAGCGAGAAGAAAACCCTGGAGGCAGCAAAGCTACTGACTCTAGATCAGAGAAGAATAGGAAAAGAAAGAATGAGGATCTGGTGAAGAATGAAAGGGATGGTAGTCTTTCTGGTGAGATGCAAAGTGGCAAACACCTGAAAACGAAAACAGCAGAGAAGCCTGAAAACCGTCTTAGTGAATTCCTGAAACCACTTGACAAAGAGAAGCAAAAAACAGAGAAGAAGTCAGAGAAGAAAACATGGCCTCTGACAGCGAAAGACATCTGGGAGGAAGGGATGAAGGTGAAACCGCAGATGAAGATAAGCATCAACATCAACCTGGATGGCAAAAGGACAGAGGAGAACAATGGAAAACACGAGGTTACAGGGAAGGCGCAGGAAAACATCGATTACCCTGAAAATAGAGAAGAGGCACAGAGGGTCAACAGAGGTGAACTAAATGAAAAGGAATCCAGTAGAAACCAGGAAGACCGTTCTGAAGACAAACTGATACAAGGTGAGGGAGAAAAAAGGCTGACATGGGACAAATTTACCTTCAGAGATGATAAGGGAGCGATTGCAGGAGAGGAGGAAGACACCAGAGAAAGAAAAGACGATGAAGACGAGGGGGAATTAGACTTATGGCACTGTGCGCTCACAGGAGTGGAGGAGAGTGAGACAGGAAAGGGGGAAGAAGAGAGTTTGAGAGATGATGACAAAGATCAAGAGATGGGAGACTTGCAGAAGGAGCAAGAAAACAGAGAAGCGTGGAAGGAGGAGCTAAAGGAAGGTGTCGAGATGATGACGAGGGAGCAAGGTACACTGAGGTTCAGCTCATCAAGGAGCAAAAATGAAGGCCACCAAGATGGACCTAACACCAAGCTGGGTGATGGCAGGTCAGAACATTACTGCTTTCATTTTTTTTCTCTCAACTGTCTTCATTTTAATCTTTGTAGCTGCATTTTCCAAGAAATGTTTAGATTACATAATAATCTAATCTTATCTGATCTGATAATAAAATATGATTGCGTTTCTCAAAGTCTAGATCAAAGTACATTACCAGACCTTACCAAGTTGTTACAAGTTGTGGTGACATCGTCATGTCTTTTTTTCTGTCTGAACACTGCTGAACCTAAACATGTGTATTCAGTTTAAACTGTTCCTAAACGAAGAACAACAGTATTTCCTTTCACTGGAAAAAGTGGAAGCAGGTAGAAAACCCATAATTTATCTGAACAGCCATTTAGATTACTATAGTTTTTTGTTTTTTTTTTACATTAGACAATTAACAAGTAAATTAAGTTCAACACTGTTTTACCTCCAATATAAGAACATAATACCCTGGATTGGTCTTTAACAGTCAGGGAAATATTTTCCTATCAGAGCTGCACAGAATTTGCAGTCTTAATCATTTTATCTTTATTTTTCCCACCAGCTTGGCTGCTATTTGTTTATCACATCTTCACAGCAAGCACCTTGTCTAACATTCACATGCATTCTTGGATCTCAGATTTTCTTCACCGTTAAAACATGCTAGTTTAATTTTCCTCATGTCGTCAATTGAGTCACTGGCTTGTTACTCGAGTTAGTCTCTGCAGGGTGGCTGCTCACTGCTTCTAACACATAAAACACAGAACGTAATTTTCTCCGCAGGGATCTACAAAGACTAAAGAACATCCTAGGATGCAATTAAAGACTAAAGAGATCTAGTGTTGCAGCTGTGTATCTTCTTTTATTAGATTACCTGTGATGTTTAATCTTGTGCATGTGTGTTGGGCAGCCATGAAGAAGAGAGTCGTCAGAGGAGGACAGGGGTGAAAACGTTGGAGAAATACACCCAAGAAAGATGGAAGGAGCTGGTACACGTTCAGGTGTGTATGTCAGCCCAGGTTATATAAGCATCCACCACCTAAGTTCATCCATCCATCCAATGTAGAACCCTACTAACTGCATGCCTTTGGACTGCGGGGGGAAGCCGGAGAACTGGAATACAAACTCATCATAGTGAGGCCCCGGCCAGATGGTGGATTCACATATAGGATCTTGGTATCAGGCAACCACTGTGCCACCATTCTGTCACTCAATTCAATTCAGTTTTATTCATATAGTGCTGAATGACAACAAGAGTTACCTCCAGGCACTTCATACTGTAAGGTAAAGACCCTACAATAGTAGAAAGAAAGCCCTAATTAGATAACCCCCTGTGAACAAGCACTCGGTGGCAGTGAAAAAAAAGAAACTCAAAAAGGAAAAACTCCCTTTTAACAGTCACCTGTTACAATCAGTTGTGGGTTAATGGAAGGAGACAGGACAACTGATTACATGAGGAAGAGTGCCAGAGATTAATATAACTAATGATGCTTAAGCTACTATGACTATGACTTACTCCATTAAAAAAAAAAAAGTCATGACATCTGAGTCACATTGTATTTTTACTTTTATTTCCCAGGCACCCCGATCAACATGGGAGAGAGATGATGATGAGGATGAAGGAAAAGCCAGAGTTCACACTGACCATGTTTCTTTGACTCTGCCTCAACCGTCAGTGACCAACAAAGCCGAGGGTGACGAGGAACAGCAGGGAGAGAGGCGCAGGGAGAAAGAGAGAGACTCTGCTTGCTCCTGGTCACACAGAAGTGTGGCTCCCTCTAGTGGCAAAGACGGAGCTGTTAGCACCACGTCTGCAGATGCAGGCAGGGAGACGAGGAGAGAGATGGACAGGCAGAGGAACAGAGAGAGGGAGAGGCAACAAGAGAGGAAAAGGTCAAAAGAACAAACAAGAGAGGACGGAATCGGGAGAGACAGGGACAAAGAGCAAAAACGCACTGCCTCTCTCCCCACCTCCTCTCAGTTTTACTCCTTCTCAACATCACACAATGCAGATAGGACAGATCTGCAATACGGGGGCAGCCAGGGTAGCAACAAGAGTTCATCCTGTCCCAGCAAGAAATTCACCAGTGCCAGAAACAGGGAAAGCAACACGATAAGCAAGGAACCCAACCTGCTTGAAAAAGAGGCACAGAAAACACACAGAGACCCATCACTAAATCTCAGATACAAAGATAAAGACTACAGCCACTACCACAGTAACCACCAAGATTCATCAGGGAGTGATCGAAATAAAGACAGAGCTCCAGGGACACACCACTCCCACAGCCGGGGTAAAGGCAGAGACCCGCTCCCCTTTGAATCTCCTGGATACTCTCAAAGAGATTCCCCTCATTTGGGGTTAATGCAGAGCAAAGCTGGAAAAGAAGAGCGGAAACCAAACAAGGCTCAGAAATTCGTCAAAGAAGGCAAAGAGGGGAGAGAACATCGAGGGATGATGGCTGTGCAGGGAGGAGGTGCCTGGTGGGAGCATGAGGCTGATTATAAAGTGGATGGAGTAGAAAACTGGTTTGGTGGAGGGAGGGATCTGGAGGAAGGGGAGATGCTCAGCAGCCGAAGCAGCAGCGTCAGCTCGTCAGCGAGCCCGGGGAACAGCAAAGAGGAAAAGAGGACAGAGAAGGAGAGGAAACAAAAAAGGCAGAAAAAAGAGAAAAGGCAGGCGACCCCGGAGCAGCCGCAGGACGGAGAGCTGAAGAAACACAAACACAAGAAGTCCAAGAAAAGAAGAGATGGCGCAGAAGCTAGCGGAGGAGAGGGGGCCGACAGGTGGAAACGAAAGGAAAACCACTGATCTCCACTCGGATGTGTCACCTCAACTCTAAAAATGAAGTTAAATTTACTTGAATGATGTTTTATTTTCTCTGACCAACAGGTGCCTGGATTTTGTTTTGTTGTTGTTGTTACTTTTGTTTAATTTTTGCTCCAGGATACGTTTTGTATCACGTTAAGATCTTCATAATTCATTTATAGCATTCGCAATCCTCGTATAAAATTGTGAAGAAATGGCACTTTATACAAAATCAAAAAAAATGAATGTGACTGAAATCACACGGCGAACCTTAACGCTCTTGAATTATTTTGACTTGAAGGATTTTTGCACTTGTTTACAACTTGCTCAGGACTGCCAGCAGTTACGATTCACATGAATCTGCTATGGATGGAAATCTTACATTTTGAATAGTCAGTCAATAATTTGCCTTGCCTTGCACAGGGGTGCGTTTGGATTACTGAGAAAAAGATTGTGAGCATTTAAAATGCACAGCCTACTGTGAATATTTAGGATTTAACCTCTGTGTTGTATTTTGTTTATTTATAATTTCTTTTATGTTTAATCTAAAAACTGCTGGATAGATGAATGATTTAGTAGAGGCAAGTTTAGTTTTTCCTGTTTTGAGGGAAATAAATAATAATTTAAAAAAAATCTAAAATCTTGTGTTTCTGTCTGGGTGTCTGCTGGTACTACTAGTGAGCACAAGTGGTAACTCCAGCCTTAATATACAGTACATCTACTTCACTGCACTTTGGATTTGACTTTCTATTGCATCTTTACCTTAAAGCATTATTATTTTTGCAGCTAAATTCTATTATAATAGATCAAGCTACCAAGCAACATATAATAAACAGCAGCTATTTATGTACTATTCTGAAAATCCTGCAGGCCAATGTCCCTCAATTTTATAATCCTGCTTAAATAGCTGAATAGCAGGTTGTATACTCAATGTAAAATATATTTAAAGTAGATACAGTAAACATTATCTGGAATGCCACTTTTCAGAGTTATGCGTTGACATCCTGATTTGGCTGAACCATGAATGCACTTCCTGAAACAACCCAAAGGAATTTTACGTGTCTTTCAGGGATTGAGATTTCAATTTGAGTTTGTGTTTTATTCAGTCTAATTTTATTCAGAATGAATTTTCATAATTCAGTTTACTCTTGATTATTTGAATTTTTTTTTTTTTGTTTTATTAGTTTCAGTGTTTGCTTTAGGTTTTGTTTTGGGTTTTTTTCAGAATAATATTACATGAAGAGCATATGTGATAGACAAGATTTAGGAAAATAAGCACAATCGTTAGAATAAAAACTTAGTTTTAATAGTTTATTTAAACCATCCAAAATCTCAGCACATCCATCAAAGCCTCATCATGCAGGTTGTAATAACGTTTACCAAACAAATACTAAAACTAACATTTCCTCTGTATTTTTTTTTATTTCAGATTGTTTTCCAAGTTAATAAAACAATTTCA